CAAGCAAAATCATTTCATTTGGGTGTAATAACATTAACATAATTCCATATCTCTGCATGCATAAACAAAGCATGACCCATAGTGTTGTGTTCTGAAAGTAACTATATGTAAGAGATACAAGTACAGTAAACTGCTGAAATAAACCCTCTAGATCACATCTCTGCGATGCTGAGTAAACTGCTCCAGACTTTCAACACTTTCAGCAAAGGAAGAAATATTCTGTCCATCTGATATTCCTCCAAAACAGCTTTTCACCGGCAGCCTCGTTCTGGTGTGGGATCAAATGATCCCATTAGCTGTCCATGGGGGTTTTTAGCTGGGATTACTGCTTATTGGCTGCAGGAAACAACTAAAGTCAAAGGCAAAGCTGCAGAAACCTGAAGACGTAGGAGAGGCAAGGCCCAGTTAGGTCACCTTGGTCGCAAGGGTGGCTTCACCACTACCGTTACTCATCTTGACACCTTCCTATTTTTAGTATTACACCATACTCCATATTTTCAGAAGTGCACACTTGCTTGTATCGCTCATCTAGCTAAAGCATGTCAGTAAACAAAAGGAGCATGGGCTGAAGCATCTAGGTATGTCTGTTGCTAGTTTCTGACTTAATAGTTCAAAAACATGTAACCCTGCACCCAAATTAAATGCAGTCTGCTTACACCAGGGTCTCCAACTCCGGGCCTGGAGAGCTACGGTCCAGTAGGTTTTCTATCCTACCTGGCTTCCGATGAGCCACACTAGTTCTCAGGTAAATACCAGGAGCAGGTGTGGCTCATCAGAAGCCAAGTGGGACAGAAAACCTACTGGATAGTAGCTCTCCAGGCCCAGAGTTGGAGACCCTGGCTTACACAGTGTAACACAAACAGACCTGTATTCCTCAGCAGGATGCTGTAAATGCTAACGATTCTGTTTACCTTAATTTGTGAGTCTTTTTCCAGCCAAAGGAGAGGATTTACATCAATTTATTTACCAGATGCTTTTATCCAAAGTGACAAACAGTTGAGAAAGCAGGGTCAGACAGTCCCTGGAACAATTGGGGCTAAGGGCCTTGCTCAAGGGCCCAATGGTGAAATCACTCTGCTGATCCTGGGATTTGACACACTGACTGTGTAAGTACCTGATACAGGTGTGCTGGGAGAAAAAAACACCTGCTGTCACGTCCCGATTGTTCCGAGCCTCGTGTGTGCCTCGCCCCCTCGTTTGCCTCGTGTCTAATCCCCGTGTCTTCAGCTGTCTGTAGTTGTGTTGATTATTTTGGTGTATTTAAGTCTGTGTCTATGTGGCTCTAGGTCAGCCCAGTCACTGACATCGTTCTGTGCTTCTAAGTGTGTTGCTCCTGAATACCTGACTCCCGTGGCTGCCTCCCCGCTCCGAACCCCCTACGTGACACCTGCTGCTGTGGGCCCTGATACTCCACTTTGGGCTAATGTGCTTTCAGATCTCTTCACGTCTTTGGTTCTCCTTGGTGTTGAATATGCCTAGCAAGACTCATCTCACCTCAACATGAAACATAAGTGACAAGCCCCTCCCGTTGTGTTAAAGTACGTCACAGCACAGAGCTAAACTGCAGTAATCCAGTTATTCAGTCTGTCTGCTGCGGTGACTCATGGATTTGAGCGACAAAGGCCAGGACCGACTTCAGCTTTTAATTGTCGGGTGGGACACAGGATTATCTAGGAGCTTTTTGGTCTTTTTTTTTTGGGGGGGGGGGGGGGGGGAGGTTACCAGTGGATCAATTTGCAGACCCATGCTAATAACTTTGACCATTTTATTAATCCGAAGGCAGAATGGGTGGGTTCGACTTATAGCAGGAGGCCTGATCTTATGATTGGGTGGGTCTGAGCCAGGCCCCCACATGGAGCACAAGGCGGCCAGGACATCTGTCTGCTATCATTTGTGATTCAGCAGGTAAAAACGATGCAGACATTGTAGATGGTCCTTGTTCCTAAAGGCACAAACACTGGGCTAGGAATCAGCGAGGCACACGCATTTCAACCAATTCACAAGCTCACACGCCACACCTCGTGGTTTTCGCTGAGAAGTATGGAGTAACACCCACTGAGGTATTATGTGGAACTAGTGGACGATGCGCAGTCATAATGATCGAGTGGAGTTTTCGGCGCAGTTCATAGCTGTTCCGAGTTAATATTGACTTACCAGCCAATCAGAAATTAGCATTTGTTGTTTCCAAATTCAAAATTAAATTACATGTGATCCCGCCGCAAGCACGTTATTACATAGATGCGCACACACAGGGAATGCAGAAAAGGTGGAAGTGAAAGAGCAAGATGAGTTGGTGAGCGGGGCTCTCAAGTCGCACGCAGTCGCCGTACTGCTCCGCCCCTAACAGATGTAATCTCACTCTAAACCTTTGAGGAAGCTTGAGAGCCGTGGATCGTAAAAATACACGGTTTACCTTAACAGCATCTTTGATGCTATCAGTGTTTACACATTGTTACACTTTGTTGTTTTTTGCAAAGTGGATATTCTGCGTAAAAAAACAAAGGGGGCTCAGAGCGGAGAAATGTCGCTGAACGCAACTGTCCGTCAACGCTTCCGTAAACACTGTCACGGCAATTTATAGTGTTGTACATATAAATAATAATAATAATAATAATAATAATAATTATTATTATTATTATAGGACAGCGGGTGGAGCACAGGTTCACGTCGGACGCACGCAGAGTTTGACGGCTTGACACAATCCTCTCCTATAAGGTGGTTCATTCTTAAACGAGGACTCCTAAAATGATACTTATACACTTCTCGTGTGCATCCTTCTGACGTAACTCTATGATATAAATACAAAAACACAGTTACTGAAATCATTGCTTTTATTATTGTATTTCTATAGATATTTTTGTTGTTATTTTTAATCATGCTTATTTTCATTTATATTTTCATATTAGTCTTCTTTGTATTAATTTTTTTTTCCTATGAGCAAAGTGTGTCACTGCACACCTGCACGGTTTACATGGGAATCATTTTTATTCTGCCTTACTGACAACAAAACAAGTGTGACGAAGGGAACTTTGAACTTGAGCAGCATTTCCCGATTTTGCTAAGCAGCCCTGGCTGAGCCCTGCGTACGTAGAAGGCGGCGTTCTGATTGGCGGCCACGGCTGCCCGTCAGACCCCCCCCCACCAAGGCGCCTCAGGGACAGGGACAGTGACAGGGACAGCACCGGAGCGGCGGGAATCCCTCGGGCATCCCGGAGAGGTACAGTACTAGGGAGGTAAACTGACAGCTGGGTCACAGAGTATCACTATAAGCAAATAATCATTGCTGACCCAATCATGTTTGTTTTTTATTGTTTTTATTTGTGGAGACTATAATGTACATAACAAAGCTTAGTGAAGATGCGTTGATTGAGCTAGGCTTCTTGAATAAATAACAAGTTTCCTCAGCTTTTGGGTCCTGAGCAGAATTTATGAAGAAAATCAAGGACAGACGTGCCAGGTGCTACCCGATATCTATGAAAATCGATAGGCGTGACTTCGTGTCATGGATTTTCAGGAGAAACGTCGCAAAACGCACGAGGAGCAAGCCTGCGAGAGACGGGGACACTTACTGTAGGAGGGGGATAGGACCCGGGGACAGAGGCGCGTGCATAAGGAAGCGAAAGTGCCTGCGGACTTTATGTTGTCTGCAATGCAAGAGGGCTGGCCACTTTGTTCCTCCCTGGGGAGGGGAGCAAACGCCTTCTCAAAGTATTAGATATTTAAATATTATCTAATATTAATATAACGGAAGAGTGTTGCAGCTTCCCCAGGATAAAGATTATGGCGTTATAATGCGCATTTGTTATGAAATCCACTGGTATATGACTAACTACGTGTATGAGAGCAAAAAAGGCAACGCAAAAGGATAAGGTTTGCACTTGTGTTTGTGTTTCTTCGTGTCACCATGGCAGAAGACAGTTTCATGCCGCGGACAGATAAACTTGAAAACATTGGCTTCGGCGTGCTTAGCTGGGAGCAAGTGCAGCGTCTGGACGGTATTCTGGCGGAGACGATCCCCATCCACGGTCGGGGCAACTTCCCCACCCTGGAGATGAAGCCGCGACAAATTGTTAAAGTGGTGAGAAGCCGGATGGAGGAGAAGCGGATTAACGTCCGAGAGGTTCGCCTGAACGGCTCAGCGGCCAGCCACGTACTCCACGAGGACAGTGGACTGGGTTACAAGGACCTTGACCTCATATTCTGCGCTGATCTGAAGGGTGAAAGGGAGTTTGAAATCGTTAAGAATCTTGTTTTGGATTGCCTGTTGGATTTTTTACCTGAAGGTGTCAACAAGGAGAAGATTACATCATTAACCTTAAAGGTATGTATATATACATGCAATGCATGCAAATATCTATCTATCTATCTATCTATCTATCTATCTATCTATCTGTCTGTCTGTCTGTCTGTCTGTCTGTCTGTCTGTCTGTCTGTCTGTATGTATGTCCATCTGTCTAATTTAAAATAGTGTTTTACATTATTGCAAAAGTTTTACTGCACTGTACTGTTGTTGTCAAATTGTTGTTTTTTCCTGTAAAGAGGATTACTGTAATCCATTTAAAATCAGAGCCACTTTTCAAAAGCATTTACTGGAGTATACCGCTCCTGTGCAGCTCTGGTAACTACATGTTGAAGCAAATTACTGAGAGGTCAAATTACACAGATAAGAATATAAGACAGAGGTGTTTCACTTTCACCCACTCCTTTACAGCTCCTTGGAGTTAATTTTTGTCTCTTAGCTCCACTTCAATGTTTACATAAAGAAGAAATTGATTAGATGATGCTGTCTAAACTAATTAAATGGTGGGTGAGGGTCTAGTTGTTTAATTCAAGGTTTCCTTGTTAGAGAATAAGCTCAATCAGATGGATTCATTTGTGCATGAAGCCAATGCATATACTGTATTGGCAACGGTGACTTTAATATAAGTGATGTGTGTTTGTTTCTATAGGAGGCATATGTGCAGAAGATGGTGAAGGTGTGCAATCATTCCGACTGCTGGAGTCTCATCTCGCTCTCTAACAACAGAGGCAAAAACGTGGAGCTGAAGTTTGTGGATTCCCTCCGCCGGCAGTTTGAATTCAGCGTGGACTCCTTCCAAATCAAGCTGGACTCCCTGCTGCTCTTTCACGAGTGCTCAGAGAACCCCATGTCCGAGACCTTTCACCCGACCATCATTGGCGAGAGCGTGTATGGAGACTTCCGGGAGGCCCTGGACCACCTGCGCCACAAGATCATCTGCACACGCAACCCAGAGGAGATCCGAGGGGGCGGCCTGCTGAAGTACTGCCACCTGCTGGTGAGGGGCTTCCGCGCGGCCTCCGAGGCGGAGATGAAGTCGCTGCAACGCTACATGTGCTCGCGCTTCTTCATTGACTTCTCTGACATCGGCGAGCAGCGCCGCAAGCTGGAGTCCTACTTGCAGAACCACTTCGTCGGCCTGGAGGAGCGGAAGTATGACTACCTGGTGACGCTGCACGGCGTGGTGAACGAGAGTACGGTGTGCCTGATGGGACACGAGAGGCGGCAGATCCTCAGCCTCATCAACATGCTGGCGGTGCACGTCCTGGCTGAGCAGAATGCCATCCCCAACGTGGCCAACGTCACCTGCTACTACCAGCCTGCACCCTACGTGTCCGATGGCAACTTCAGCAACTACTACATTGCCCAGGTTCAGCCTGTGTTTGCCTGCCACCAGCACACCTACCCCTACTGGCTGCTCTGCAACTGAGCGAGACACTTCTACAGATGAGTGAAGAGGAACAGCAGATGAGCTGAGCCTTCAAGGCTTGACGTGACTCTTCTGTCTGCAAGATCCCAGCTTGTACAAACTCTGGAAGTGTTTGCGTTCGCTGGGAGCAAGGCAGGAAGACTGGGAATGTTGTGTCCCAATAAGCCCGTATCCAAAACTTCTTCATGGTGACCAGATAAAGAGCTACTTTGTAGAGGATGACTGATGGCCCTGCTGGAGAACTGAGCCAAGGAGGCTCTGAATGCTTGAGGGATCCGTGGAAGAGATGAAATGATTTTTATTTTGGTTGCTACTGTATATAAATGGAAACTATTTTGTTGTCAGGATTTTTACATTCCAATAGTCATAGTAAGAAAAGAAATATAGTTACAGAAAGAACATCAGAGTCAAAAAGTTTTATTGGAATTTATTGTAGAGATTGTTAGGTGCTTTTGTTTTGTCATCAATAGGGCAGAATTAAAATGATTCCCATGTACAAACCAAAGACTATTTCTAGGTATCCAGTGTTTTTAATGAAAAGAAAATAATACTTCTTGTGCCTAACATCTGTTAGACTTTGAGGAACATTGAGGAATTGGACCAGCTTCAGTCATTCCTTGTCTATATTTGTGAGCTGTGGGAGCAGGAAGTATCATTCGATTGGTCTCCATTCACCAGAGCTCATCTTCCCATCTCACAATGTCCCAAGCAAATGGAGTGAATGTGAACATCCCGTCATGAAGCTCTGATGATGTGAATTTCTTCCTAAATCCTCATCCCTGTGCTTTGCTAATGGCACAGCCTGCAGCACCACTGTGTTCCCATTCATCCAGTTTACCTCATCAACAGGATGTGTCTGGCCTTTCGCTCCTGAGGTGTTGCTTCATCTCTGAAGGAGCCATCCTTCCTGCAGTGAACACCGTAAGGCCTGGGGAGGTCAAGCTTCCTGGATCGGAGGGGTTTATGAAGAGCTCAAGCAGGTGGAGTCGGCTACCCATTGAGATTATCCTACCTGTGTCACCTTCAAAAGCTGAGCATTTATACCAGAGTGAATGTTAGATCAACAGAGAGTCTAATTAGGGCTCAACCATTATAAATTGTGCCCAAATAATCATGTCTGTTAAACTGGTCATGAGATAATGGACTGTAGGACTAATGGGCAGAAGTTCAACTGATGAGAGAGTAGGACTCACTGGACTCACATTTGCAGAAGTGGTGTCTCCAGTGTGGAGGCTGTAAGTTCCATGTAAGGTAGTCCTGAGGAGATAGAGGAAGTGCAGTGTCATCTGTGCTTTGAGAACGTTCTCTGTTAGCATATGACCTTAATAAATGCTATGACTTTGGTCTTCTGTGGTTTCTGCTGCTTCTTTCACCATCATGTCAGTTTGTAGGTTCCTGTTGATCTTCACACAAAAAAGATATGGGCTGTCCTAACACCTAACCCTGAAGTGGGTTTTATTTTCTCAGATACTGTACCAGTGACTAAAAGGGCTTGTGTGTTTGTTTTTTTTCTCTCTTTTTTATAACTTACAAACAGGTGTTTGTATATCCTTTATAAAGACTGTTTCTGTAAATAGTTGTTCAAACATTTCATTTCATGTCAGGTTTACGGGTGAACACATCTTATATCTGTTGTTTGACATGCAATCCCTTTATGTTAACATGATTATGTATGTTTTAAAAATGCCGTTTCCAAAAGGTTTTTACATCATTTTATTAAAACTTATGTTGCAAGTGGAAATCTTATATTGAGTGCTGTGTGATTCTGTCTATGGTATCTGCTGGCTGTTCCACAGTATAAACTAACTTCGTATGCTATGGTGAGAACTGTTAAGGTGGGTGATGTATAGTTTAAACAAGCAAGCTGTGTGGAGTATATCCATCCATACATTCAACCACTCATCCATCTATCCATCCATCCATTCAACCACTCATCCATCTATCCATCCATCCATTCAACCACTCATCCATCTATCCATCCATCCATTCAACCACTCATCCATCTATCCATCCATCCATTCAACCACTCATTCATCT